TTCCTGGGCATATTATTTTAGGTTTGCTGTTGTAGTCTTTAAGACTTAGAATGCATTACTCTAGGCTCTTCTGGATTTCAGTTACCACTGAGAAATCAGCTGTTATTCTGATTCATTTTCCTTTATATGTGACTTATATTTTTCTCTTACATCTTATAATATTCTTTCTTTGGTAAATATACTTAATGTTTTGGCATGCCCTGCAGATTTTCTTTTCTGGCCTTGTCTATTTGGTGTTCTGTGTTTTTTTTTTTTTTTTCATGAATATGTCTTTCCTTAATGTAAAGAGTTTTCTTCTATGATCATGTTGAAGATCTTATTTATGCCATTAACTTGGTATGTATCTCCATCTTTGCCAATAATCAAAGGCTTTTTTTTAGGTGGTGTCCCAGATGACTTCTCTCTCTCTCTCTCTCTCTCTCTCTCTCTCTCTCTCTCTCTCTCTCTCTCTCTCTGTGTGTTTGTGTGTCTGTCTGTCTGTCTGTCTGTCTCTCTGTGTATGTCTCTGTGTCTCTCTGTCTTTATTTCTCTCTGTATGTTTCATCAGTGTTCATGTGCCTTTGAGTTCCTTCCTTAACTCCTCTTCTTGCTGGACTGCAACTCTAAAGTAAAATAAAGTTTTTTTTGGTCATGGTGATGTATCAAAACAGTAGAAACCTAGTAAGACAAACATGAAACTACAGAGATTATTCCATGATTTGAATTTGTTCATGATGTTTAATACTCAAATGCATGAGAATTATAAAATAAAATAGAATTTCTAAGTGTCATCAGAATGCTATAAAGTCTTGAAACTTATTCTCTTACAGATTATGTATGAAAGATACTGATAGGTATTTTAAAATTCTGATAAGAATTTCTTAACTTTATATGACAGTGAGATACATAGATGAAATTCTCATAAAATAATTCTTAGGAAACACTGAATCCTTTCCTCTGGGATTTGATGTTACATGAACATCCAAAGTAACAAATTGTATCCAATCACCACCATTGTTTTATGTAGAAGGCCAAAGTGAATTAAGCTCATAATGTGGAAACAAAATGAGTTTCTTTAAACAATAATTTCAAAGAGTTGTATTATTTTTCTTGAATGTTGCAGTATGTGTTTTTATCAGACTTTATAAATTTGGAATTTTTAGTGGATTCTATTGTTATTTCCTAAGAATAATAATCCCTTATTCATCATTTGGGATATTGCATTTAAGTGATTTACTACTTCAGATGGTGTAAGAGTAAATATGATGTTTAGATGAATTAGTGAGAATAATTTGCTTCACTCTTTTACATTTTATATATGTACTTATAACAAATATTTCTTGATTTGAGCTTTTGTGGATTTAAATATGCTCATGTCTACTGGATCCTCTGTTTCTATTTCTGTAAAGTACCCAAGGCTCAAAATTCTTCAGTATTTTGAGGATTTTATTTCTATACTACAAGAGTGTAGAGCACACCAACTTTCCCCCTGCTTTTTTTTTGTTGTTGTTGTTTTGTTTTGTTTTGTTTTTCGAGACAAGGTTTCTCTGTGTAGCTTTGTGCCTTTCCTGGAATTCACTTGGTAGCCCAGGCTGGCCTCAAACTCACAGAGATCTGCCTGGCTCTGCCTCCTGAATGGTGGGATTAAAGGCATGTAACACCACCGCCTGGCCTTCCCTGCTTTTTTTTATTAAAAAAAAAAAACATTTTTTCACTCATTTTATACACTAATCAAATATCCCCCTCTTCCCTTCTTCCACCCCTCAGGCTCCTCCTCCCAACCCACTCCCTACTCCCACCCACAAGAAGGCAAGGCCTCCAATGAGGAGACACATCAAGTAGAGGCAAGCCCAGGCCCTTTCACCAGCCTTAAGGCTGCACGAAGTGTCCCATCATAAATAGTGGGCTCATGCATCAGATGGATTTTGATCCTACTGCCAGGGGGACTCCCAAGCAGATCAAGCTACATAATTGTCTCAACAAGCAGAAGGCCTAGTCCAGTCCCATGTAGGCTTCACAGCCATTGATACAACTTTCATGAGTTCCCACTAGTTTTGTTTGGTTGTCCCTGCTTGTTTCCCCATCATGATCCTAATGCACTTGCTCATAGAATCCGTCTTCTCTCTCTTTGACTGGATTCCTAGAGCTCTGCCTGGTGATTGGCTGTGGATCCCTGCAGCTGCTTCCATCAGTCACTGGAGAAAAGCTCTGTGATGACAGTTAGGGTATTCACTGGTCCGATCTCTGGGGCAAGCCAGTTCAGTCCAGGCACCCTCTCCACTATTGCTAGTAGTCCAAGCTGGGGTCATCCTTGGGGACTCCTGGCAACTTCCCTAGCACTGGGTTTCTCTCTAGCCCCATGATGTCTCCCTCTATCATGGTATCTCTTTCATTGCATTCCCCCTCCCTCCCTGTTCCAGCTCAACCATCCCATTCCCTTATGTTCTGATCCCTTATCCCCTACCCTCCATTGCCTATCCCTCATCCCCAGTTTACTCATGGAGATCTCATCTATTTCCCCTTCCTAGGGTGGTCCATGCATCCATCTTTGGGTCTTCCCTGTTATAACATCTCTGGAGTTGTAGGTTGTTGCCTTTATATCTATCCTTTGCTTTATATCTAGTATCCACTTATGAGTGGGTCCACACCACGTTTGTCCTTCTGAGTCTGGGTTACCTCACTCAGGATGATATTTTCTCATTCTATCCATTTGCCTGTAAATTTCATGATGTTATTGTTTTTCTCTGCTGAGTAGTACTCCATTGTGTATATGTACCATATTTTATTAATCCATTCTTCAGTTGACAGGCATCTAGGTTGTTTCTAGGTTCTGGATATTATGAATAATGCTGCTATGAACATAGCTGAGCATGTGTGCTTCTGACATGATTGAACATTCCTTGGGTATATGCCCAAGAGTTGTATAGCTGTGTCTTGAGGAAGATTGATTCCCAGTTTTCTGAGAAACTGCCATACTGATTTACAAAGTGGCTGTACCAGTTTGCATTCCCCCCAATAGTGTAGGAGTCTTCCCCTTGCTCTACATCCTCTCCAACATAGGCTTTCTGCAGTTCTTTTGCTCTTAGCTATTCTGACAGGTGTAAGATGGTATCTCAGAGTCATTTTGATTTGCATCTCCCTGATGACTAAGGATGTTGAGCAATTCCTTAAGTGTCTTTCAGCCTTTTGAAATTCTTCTTTGAGAATTCTCTGTTTAGCTCTATAGTCTATTTTTACATTGTATTATTTGGTATTTTGATGTCTAGTTTCTTGAGTTCTTTATATGTTTTGGAGATCAGCCCTCAGTCAGATGGATTGGTGAAAATTTTCCCCATTCTGTAGATTGTCGTTGTATCTTATTTACCATGTCCTTTACCTTACAGAAGCTTCTAAGTTTCAGGAGGTCCCATTTATTAATTGCTGCTCTCAGTGTCTGTGCTACTGGTGTCGTATTTAGTAAGTGGTCTCCTGTGCCAATCTGTTCAAGATTATTTCCTACTTTCTCTTCTATAAAGTTCAGTGTAACTGGTTTTATATTGAGGTCTTTGATCCACTTGGAATTGAGTTTGTGTGTGGCTATAGATATGGATCACTGCAATCTTCTACATGTTGACATCCAGTTATGCCAGCACCATTTGTTGAAGATGCTTTCTTTTTTCCATTGTACAGTTTTGGCTTCTTTGTCAAAAATGAGTTGGTCATAGGTGTGTGGATTAATGTTAGGGTCTTCAGTTCAATTCCATTGATCCGTATGTCAGTTTTTATGCCAATACCAAGATTTTTTTAATATAGCTCTATAGTAGAGCTTGAAGTCAGGGATCAGCACACCAACTTTTAAAAAGCTTTGGCATTGTTGGACTTGTTGACCCATTTAAAATAATTATTTGTAGATGTAACCAACTGTCTTATTAAATAAGAAACACAGAACTAATGCAAAGAAGAAAGCCAAGAGATCAGCACTAAGAGCCTTACTGTGCAGCTAGCCTCTTAAGCCAAGAGACCTCTCCAAAAGGGAGCTACTTCCTGTGTGTTTGTCTTTATATAGTCTTTCTGTTCTGCCTTCTCATTGGTTGTAAACACAAACACGTGACTGCCTCATCACTGCCTGTAAGTACAGCCCTCCAGTTCTTAAAGGCATGTGTCTCCAATGCTGGCTGTATCCCTGAACACACAGAGACTTACCTAGCTCTGCCTACCAAGTGCTGGGATTTTAAGCATACACCACCACCGCTCTGCTTTCCTATGGCTTGCTAATAGCTCTGATTCCTGGGCAACTTTATTTATTAACATATAATTAAAATCACATTTCAGTACAAATAAAATACCACCATAATTATTCTTTGAAGACTGTTTTTTGTTTAATTTTTTAGGACTAAGTTTGCAATGCACTTAAAGAGTACCTTAATTTGAAGAATATTATGTTTTTTTAGTGAACTTTTGTTCAGTTTTAGTTAAGAGTATTACCCATAACCACTAAGAATCTTCCCTAAAAATAAAGGTCTTTTCATTTTATTTTACTTTTTTGGGTTTTTGAGACAGGATTTCTCTGTGTAGCCCTGGTTGTCCTGGAACTTACTCTGTAGCCCAGGCTGCCCTTGAACTCAGAGATCCACCTGCTTCTGCCTCTCAAGTGCTGGGATTAAAGGCATGCGCCAACACTTCCCAACCCATAAAGATCTTTTTTCACATCTTTTGTAGTTGATCATACATTGCATCTCATAGGTACCTCCTAAATTAACTTTACATTGGACCTTGTCATAGTAATCTTTGACAAATGGGATATTAGTAAACATTGACCTCTCTAGTTTCTGAAAACTCTTCTATCATGTGAAGAAGGATGAACTAACTTGAAGCAGCCTAAGAAAAAAGTCACTAGCAATTTCAAATGGCAGACATGTTAGTGAACCCCAACTGAGTGGCTAGATGACTTCACGTTACACAACTAAGACCAGATAAAATGCCCAGGTGAGCATCCTACAAAGAACTATTTGAGTTATGACCAAAACATGACTGTCTGGACATCAAATTATGGAATATTTATTATTACAGTAAAGAATATGCTTAATGCAACATAAACATATGTAATTCATACAATATACTGAGTAGAATTCAAATACTATAAAATAGAAAAACAGAGGAGATATTAGTTTAAGAGGTCATGAAATTGAAGAGGGGTGAGGAGGATGTAGGAAGAGATGAAGAGACCAGATGGAGGGATGGAAATTACATAAATACAATGTTCATGTATGAAATTCTCAAATGGATGTAAATTCAAAAAGATTTTATCATATATTCACTAAGTAGTATATGTATTGTTAAAATGTATGAAAGAACATTTCATATGATGTTTACTATTAAGGGTATTTAAGCTTAAGAAAAACAATGAAAATTATAACAATTCTGGGTTACAGTTGTTTGTTTGTTTGTTTTTGTTGTTGTTTTTAATCTCAATCAGTGCCTCCTTAGGTTTCTCAGATGCTTACCCAGGAGTGGGAATCACACTTCTTTCTGGCTAGAAGAGAACCACAGTTGATAATCTTCCTCAGCGTTCTGGTAAACAGAAGAACCAAAAGTCATTCTGTACCTTTCCCAGTACACACAATATTTTCTTTCCTCTTCTGCATCTCTAAAACTGGAAAGTATTGAGGCAGGCAAGAATTCTGTTCTATGTAAGAGGAGGCTGACATTGAAAATTAACAGTGGTGAGTTCAGTGGTCCCCGCTCTCCCCAGGAATCTGCAGAAATCAGGTTCCTGCCTTTTCATTTCTGATAGAACAGATTTGTCAATGCAAACTCTTTTCTTTCTGCTCCATTTTTTTGTGACACTGGGAATAAGAAATCACTCCATATCCTGTCTCCAACAAGAAACTGTCCTTGTCACCCATGTCCCTACAGGCTTTGGAGTATATTAAGGTTTGCTATAACATGTTCTTGTCCAGACAACTTATTACCCTGGTGCCACATGTCCACCATGTCTATGATTGAGCAAACCTAAATTTAGAAGCCTGGTAACCTCATCAACCTGAATATAGGAGACAAAAAGCTAGAGAGACCTGGAGGAGACTAGAATATGAAATCAGCATTTGACCATCATTCTAAGAATCTCAATCCTACAGAGAGAAAAGACAAGTATCTAACCTTCATTATAACCCAGAAGACAAAAACAAGAACAAAAACACATTTATAGCCTACAGTCCTGGGATCTGTTTAAAACAACCAAATGTAAATTATGTATCATCCATTGAATGTTAGAGCCCCACATGAGATACAAAAAAAATGCATTAAGTAGAGTTATATCTTAGTAATAACTTGTTCATTTTTGATTCCTGATAGAAAATAATTAACTTTCCTTGCAGAGTGAGGTTCCATTTATGATATTATGATAATAAGTGAGTGTGCTCTTACACATATATGTATACACACTCTAAAAATTAAAATGAGTTAATGAATGGTCCATATTCAAGGTCATTTTCCAAACATGTTTCCCTCTTTACCAGTTATTTCAGGCATCATCTATTAGCTTCTTGGGACAAGTATTCAGAGGATACAGCTCAAGTGATATATTTTAGTTAAATTTGTATATCAAACCTGTTATTCTGTAATTATTAATTTGAAACCTTGTACTTCACAAATAAATCAGTATCAAAAATATCTACATGACAAAGAAGATATAGAAAAGGCAGCATTGAAGATATCTAATGATTTGTATTGACAACGTTACATCATGTTCATTGGGTATATACATATATTTACAAACAATTCATACAATTTGTGTATACATGCATTTTCATGTCACATACACAGAGCTTATTGTGCTCTAGTGGTACAAATGCACTTCACATGTGCTCACTTACATAAAATTTCATTGGAAAATACAAGAGGAGTGGCCATATATAGACAAATGTAATCTGTCAGATGACTTCTGAAAGTGGAAGGAGATAGAAATTTTTCATACATAGGGTAATGAGGCATTTCTCTATGATGTTTATTCAATTATTTAAATATTAATGGATCACAAAAAAGACATTCAATAATTAAAAAGAGTTTTCAAATCTCTTGCAGGTATTTCATTCAGCAATGGTCCTAACTTCTTGATGATGTCATGCACTGTCCAATTGTGCTGCTGTTACAATGAGCAACTATAGAAAACACAGAGAAAAATGTTACTAATTAGTAATGTTCATGAAATACCTGATTTGGTAGCTATTTATCCCAACATAATACACATCACATAACCAAAGATCTAATTAGGTACTGGCAAACACATATAAGAAAAACACATATAAGGCTCAAATCGTGAGTATGATTTTCCTTTCCTTTGCATAACCTGAGGGAAATAATAGGGATTTTAGTCTAATATATATCTCTTTAAGGATTTGGATCAGTCAAAATATAATAGGATGGACACAGATGATCTGGATTATAGTGGATGATAAAACAAAAGTGCTTTTCCCCCCAAGCCATATGACACTAAATAGAACCCAGAATATTCATGATAGGAGAGAAGCAAATATGGCTGTATTCTGAATTATAAATGACACCACACACACACACACACACACACACACACACACACACACACTGACATGCATAGACATAAAGACTGAAAAATGAGATTATATTTTCAAAAGAGACACAGGCTCTGATTCTCAGATATGTGTATGCTTTCACAATGGGAGGGGGTAATCTCAAAAGATGGGGAAACATTTTCTTGTTTTAACACAATGTGTTTATAAATTGGTTTATTTCATTACACACCATGTATTCAGTTCTCACAAACTCATATGAACTGCTACAGAATTTAAAACACTATGCAGTGAGGATTTCTTTGTACTTCATGGTTAATTTGGTTGCCACTGGAATCTATTGATGAATGAAGATTTTGGTCATTAAAGTTCCATCCCTAAATTTGACAATGACTAAGGTCTCTATAGTAGGAGACATATACTGCACATTACAGTTAGAAACTGTCCACAGAAAAAGGAAGATATTTCCAGAACATTACTATTATACACAGCAGTCAGTCAACAAGAAAGTTAACTATGTTTACAAATTTTTTTATAGCTGATGCATCTGCGTTTGCAGATGTGTCCTCTGGAAAACAGCACTTAGAGAAGAAAAACAGCAGAAATGACCCTTTCTAAAAACAGTAAACAGTACTAAAGGGAAATCCTTTCAGAATCAAGTAATCTTACATTAATTTTGTGACACTGAACATGCTGTACACCACAGGCTAAAAGATAAAACTACTAGGCCAAAGAATGGATGACTTCTATTGGAGTTGTTGGACAGTGGGGTCCCATAGTCTCCCAAAATACTTGGCTATTGTCATTGCTCTTGATTATTATTCAGAAATGAATGGCAAATACCTATGGCTGAAGATACTACATACTTGAGTAATATAACAAAAAGAGGTAATAAATTTGATATTGATTTGGAAATTCATGCCTATTGTCTAACTCTAATAATACTTGAGTTTGGGATACATGCTACTGGAAGACAATAGCAATCTTCACTCTAATCAAGCTGTGGACCCTGTGATCCACAGTAATGACTAGCTCTCCAAGACACAGCCACTGGTGCAATGGTATCTAAATAAAATTGACTTCATAAGATATCAAGGTGATTTTCTGTACACATGCACAAATGTTAAGCATTTGCCACAATTGAAATCAAGTAGGAAGGAAAGAACTTTCTTTCAGGAAGGTCTGCTCACCTCTGCCTCCCCGGCACTCTGGTACCAAAATCAGATGAGAGCATTCTCCTAGCTATTGGACAAGATACACTTTATTTCTTCCATTTGTCTATTTCACTGCAATGTTGTCTAGTATAGAAAGTTTGTGCAGAACTAAGCATAGAATTCTTAAAATATTTTATTCATCATGAATATATTAGTTATTATACTACACTTTTAAAATTTCACACCCCAGTTCAATGTATTTGTATATGAAAATCAAGCACATGCAAATCCCTTTATAGTAACAATTCCTTTCAATTCAATAACTCCTGGTGGTCTCATAAAAACAAAGACCTCCAGATTGCTTAATCTCACATAACAGATAAGTGCAATACCTAACCCACCAGTGGACTGTACTCTAGAAATAGAATGCTACTGGAGTAATAGATGGCAACTGGAACTTGAGTGGGAAGTTGAAATTCCATAACAGATAGAGGTGTGCTTCAATGAATGGGCAATTGGTTAAATTACAATTATCATAACCTTGATCCATTCAAGGGACAAGAAAATGTTTTTGCGTTTGAGCTGCCCCACTCCCTGAGTACCAAATATTAGCAACAAAACCTTTCTTACAACTCCTCCTCATCAGTTTAGGGGACCTCTTCAGTTTCCCCAATTTGATTTCCTGACCAATCTAGCACATTACTTCTAATAGTGTTCAATTGCTCAAATGAGTCTCTATCCCACAGGAGGGAAATATCTGAAGCAGCTGTTCACCAGGTCTCCTATGTCATCTGGGCAATAACAGATTAACACTATGCTAGCAAAGGCGACCTCTACATCCAAGATATAGTGTAGATAAATGGCCAAACACTCAGTCACAAACAAATAGGCATTCCTTGGCCAGATTCAGAATAATTAGAACTCACAGAGGCCTGGGAAATCAGGAAGCTGGGAATCATTCTTTCCATTCTCAGACTGCAGGATGTAACGTTGGAGGATCAGGAACACAGGTTCAGCAACTCTCACTCCAGTTCCTCTGGGGGAGCATCAGCAGCCACAGTGTCATCAGGGCCAGCATTCCTCTGCGGTGGTATTCTAATTGTACTGAAATGTGATTTTGATTGTATGTTAATAAATAAAGTTGCCTGGGGGTCAGAGCTATTAGAGCCATAGACAGAGTGTGGCGGTGGTGGCACACGCCTTTAATCCCATAGATCTCTGTGTGTTCAGGGATACAGCCAGCATTAGAGACATATGCCTTTAAGACCTAGGGGGCTGTACATTCAGACAGTGACGAGGCAGTCACGTGTTTGGGTTTACAACCAATGAGAAGGCAGAATGACTAGAAAAACAACTTACACACAGGAAATAGCTCTCTTTTGGGAAGCTGGGACAGCAGGAGGAAGGGTGAGATTTTAGCTCTGAGCTCTGACCTCTCGGCTTTCTCTTTTACATTGTTTCTGTGTTTCTTATTTAATAAGACGGTTGGTTACATCTACATTCCTCTGTTCCACATACTGCACCAAGTGCTCAGGAAGCCACTGAGTCTCATTTTCATCCTGTGAAAAAATGCAAACATGCCCTGGACCCCATATCAAAACAGGGTTGGGATCCTTCCATAATCCAGTGCAAGGATCCTTTTATTTCACCTGAGCAAAAGTCACTCTGGTGCCATCATGCCAAAATCTTTCCACAGCAGATTGCTCATGGACATCTACATTCAAAAAATTCAAAATGAAGAGGGCATGATTCAATGCTTTATGCATTGACTGAGGTTATGACTCCCCCTCTTTGTTTTCTGAAGCTACGTCTTGAGATTGCCTTGGGCTCACTCAATGATGCTTTGTCCTTGAAGATTATAAGAAATGCCTGTTTTATGCTCAATTTTCCATTTGAAACAAAATTGCTGACATGCTTTACTAATTTGTCTGAATCCACTATCTGTTTTTATAATTTTAGGAATCCCCATATATGAAAAACATTTTAAGCAATGTACTTGATGGATTCTCCAGTTTGTACAGTGGCTATCAAAAATTCTGAATAGGTATCAATTGCCACATACACATAATTTACTTTGCCAAATTCCACAATATAAATAACATCCATTTTCCATAAATGATTAGGAAGAAGGCCTCAAAGATTTATCCCTAAGTGAAGGCATGGGAAAATACTGTGGGCACACATCACATTGCTTAACAATCTTACAAGCAACTTCCTTGGTAAGGCCAAATTGTTTTCATAAACTTCTGCTATTCTGATGATGAAGGGCATGTGACTGTTGAGACAAATACACCTGAGATAAGGTGACTATAAGTGTCAATTTATCAGCTGATGTATTACCATTAGGTAGAGGGCTAGGAAGACTGGAATGAGCTCTAATATGACCCACAAAGCACGGCAACTTATTGCTATCTGAGAATGACTTGGGCATGATGCTATAGCCAGTTTCTGTTGAGGACCTGGTCACTGGCTCCACCAAGATGGATGAGGTCTTCTTGACTGAGCCTGGGCTGGCAAGACACTGGCCTGTCAACTTGGCACTGAATGGACTACACATGATGTGGTTGGGCCCACCATATTTGACACCAATCAGGTAGTTTCCAGGGGCAACGGGAGTGTACATGACTTTGTACTCTTCTGGGGTTTCTTGGCAATCCACTTTGACCTTGGTGGTTCTTCAATGGCAACAGATAATGTCCCTGGGCCTGCTTGAGGGGTTTTGAAGAAGAATTCTGATTGGATACCTGCAGTACCCTCCTCAAGCCCAGCACTTTAGGCTGACACTAGAGCAAGATTCCTTCCCTGTTTGGCCAGGCCCCCCAACATGCACTTTGAAAGGGATCCCAACCATATGGCTCCCATTGAACTCAACATTGATTATCTGGCTCTTGTTCAGACACATGGCATTCCTCCACAGCTCCTGAGGGTTTATGCACCTTTGCATCAAGCTTTCTTTTTGCACCATTCAGCCTTATAGCAAAGGATGCTAGCTGATTAAATTTTAATCCTCACTCCAATGGTTCGTAACAATGAGGCAGTGAGTGTCATCTGGATGTGATGATCAGCATCAGGTGATGGCCTCATGGTTAAACTTTATAGACATGTCATAGTTACCAGGCTCTTGGATAATATAAGAAATACCACATGACCCATTTTTATGGTCATCAAATGTAATCTCTGCCTTTCTAGGCCCTCAACAACAATGGAGAGGCCTTCAGCATCTGCTTCTCAGGTCCTGATGCTGAACTCAGCTGGGATGCCTATTTCTCCCCTCTCCAGGCCAGGGCCTCCTGCCTGGATCTTGTGAGCACCTCCTTCACCAAAGGTCCTGTGTGAACTGGAAGGGGTTTCATGTTAAATTCTGGCTATGGTATTTTACACTGATTGTGTGAATGCCCATTTCCTGGGACACAAATTGAACACAGTGAGAGTTCTTCCCCACAGATACCTTGGGTAACATGGACCAAGGGGCTGGTGACATGGGCAGATATGTCACTGCTGTTTTCTGGAATCTTCAAGTTCACATCATAGATACTGTCAACTATGGCCATAGATAGAGCCTGGCTGGTCCAAGTGATGCTCTCTTTGACTCTTCCCTCACCACTGATCTTCACAGTGAATGGATGTCTAGGCACATTCTCATCCACACATTTGTTGGAAATGATATAGATCCCAGGCTCAGTGGGGAGGTAGGATACCTTGTGGACAATGTCCTCCAGGTAGTCTATCTAGATGTCCACATCACTGGATCATTCTACCACCAAGAATATACCACCATAACCTGCATCTCTTATGTCCACAATAAAGTCAGATATCTCTAAAGTCTGGCCTTCTGACCGGCCTTGGTCACATAGACTTGGGTGTAGCACAAATTGTCAGTTTCAGACTGGATCATGAAAATGGATATGGGATTCCAGTAATGTGGTTGCCACTATTCTTGATGCTGACTAGATGTTCACCCACCTATCAGAGGATGAAAGAAATGCCAATGTGGTTTTGGGGCAGCTTCCTCAGCAGACAGGGCTTGTCATGTCCAGATGGGGCTTGATATTGACTGTCATGTATTAAAGTCAGTCTCACTGATGTCCAGAAGGAAGTTGGCAGCTGATCCTTGTGGTGATATACTGTGTACCCTAACAAATTTGCCTAAAGATCAGAGAACAAGCCACCAGATTAAACATAGGGGCCAAACAGTGGTGGCATGCACCTTTAATACTAGCACTTGGGAGGCAGAAATCTGTCTAGATCTCTGTGAGTTCAAAGTATCCCCAGACTACATGAGATTGACTCAGTTTAGAAGAGAAAACAGAGCCAGAAAGTGTTTGGATACACCTTTAATCCCAGTACTGGGAAGCACACATGCCTTTAATCCCAGGAAGTGATACCTAGATGGAGAAAGGCATATAAGGTATGAGGAGACAGGAAGTAGAGGCTCCTAGAGGTTTTTCAGCTGGATGTGCTTTTGGCTGAGGACACCCCTTTCAGCTGAAGGCTTTTGAGCTAAGGAAGCTCTTTCAAGTTGAGGAGTTGGTGAGGTTAGAGATGGTAGCTGTGGCTTGCACTGGGTCTATCAAAATGGCATATCCTCAGGGTCTTGGGAGGTTCTAGAACTCCTGTCTTGTAATATCCACATACACCCCAAACTGTGCCATTGGGATGAGTGGTTACAACAGCCTCTTCTGACTTATTCACAGCTGTACAGGATGCAACTTGGCTTCAAAGTCCTTAGCCATGTAGTTTCAGAAGACAGGAGAAAATTTGCATTGTTCACAAGGACTCAGGTAGTGTTCAGAAGCTCAATTCACTTGCTGGATGCTTCAGACCTTCATGTTGATGGACCAGATTCACAAAGCCACCCTCACTGACAGCCCAGGACATCCAGAGCCAGGAAAGGGACAGTCTCTGTCATAGTCCATTGCCTCTAACAGCTCCCAGACTTCACTAGAGATCTTTGTGCCACTCACAGCTAGGAACTCAGAAGCCTTAGGTGTCAGTGGCATACAGTGGTACTTGGTGGTTCCTAGTGTGCTAATAGCTATAATGTAAAGTGTGAGAATCTCCAGCTTTGACCAGGGATCCTTTAACTCCTTGTTATTAGTGACACACAATGTAAATCATTCCAGTGGAGGTGAAGTACAGTGCTGGTACTGAATCCTCATTAGTCCCTCAGTGCTTCCTTCCCACTCAGTGTGAAAGCAGAGGGCCCCCAGAACTGCAGCTTCAGCACTGACCATCCCTGACACTTCAACAAACTAACCATCAGAAATCCTTGACTCTGGGTCTGCTCTTTAGGAACCTAGAGAAGCAGGATAGGCCCATTGCTGACCAGAAGCTGCCAGTTCCTGAGCTCCACTCCTGGAAGAGCCAGCTTGAGCCCCACATCCTCTAAGAAACACCCATCCCCTGACCAGAACTCACTGTGCCTTTCCCCTGACCACTTATTTCCCAGTGTCTGACACTGAGGCTGAAGGCCAGCTTTCCTTCTGCCTCTCTCTGGTCTCCTTATGCTCTCCATTCTCTCTCCAAAGCATCCTGCACAGTCTTGCAAACATGTATGGATCAATATAAGGGCACTGAACAAATGCCCCCACTGGCATTTGGTGTTGTCACAACACTGGTGACATCACAGGAGATGCCAAGGCTCTCTAGGATACAACAGAATGTTTCAGAAAGAGACTGCTGATGCCATATTGTATAGTCCTTGACTCCATACTAACTAGCTCACCTCAAACTGACTTCAATACAAGGTATGAAAAGGCCAGACAAATATTTTGCTGTAAATATAGCTCTATATAAACACTGATTGGCCAATAGCCAGACAGGAAGTATAGGTGGGACTAACAGAGGGGAGAATTGAGAAAGGAAGGAGGAAAGCAGAGACCATCTGGAGCCCCTGCCAGGACAAGGAAGATGTAAAGTACCAGTAAGCCACGAGCCACATGGCAAAGTAAAAATTAATATAAATGGGCTAAATATAAGAGTAAGAGCTAGAAAATGATAGGCCTGAACTAATGGACAAGCAGTTTAAATAATGTAAGAGTCTGTGTGTTTATTTTATAAGTGGGTTCCAGGACTGGTGGACTTGGAGGGACCCGGAGAAAAAAAGCCCTCCAGCTACAAATGGCATGCACCCAATGTGGGACCTGAGTTTCCACCTTAAACCTGATAATATTTAATAACCAATTCTAAACAGAGCCAAAACCAGGTTCCTCCTTTATGTCTCATACGGGCAGCTAGATGCCGCCAAATGTGGGTTTGTGCTACTGGCGGGTTCCTGGTGTTTGCCCTTGACCTGCAGTATGGTGGGAATAAGGCATCGGCCAGCAGCACATTACACTGTGTGGTAGATTTAGTCTTTACTAGTATATATTTTAAAAAAAAATGTTTCTGGGCTACATGCTGATTTGATAGAAGCATAGACCCATTATTTCTGAGACTTGATAGTGCCCAGAGCTGGCGGAAAATGTACCTCCACCATGTTGGGAAGCTGAAGGTTGTGGAGCCAGCAGCCACAGTGCTGTTTCAGGCTTAGAAGGCTGCAGTTTAAAGTAATAGCTTCACAATAAGACTGCTTCAACTGAAATAGATTACAATGTATGTAAAAATGTACATAGGCCTAAAAGAGAAAAAAAAGGAATATATACAGTTATATAAACAGTTTTTAAAAATAAAGTCTTTAAACAAACAGTAAAGGTAATAAGCCACATAAAGATGGCTACCACACAGAGAATCTGGATTATGTTGTCTTTCATATTCGTGACTAAAGAAAAACATTTGATTGTAAAAGCTGTTGAGTTATGCCAAAATGTATATTTTAAAGGTACCTTGACTTCAAAATTCAGATATAAGGATATGTTGCTTTGGAAAAGAGGTTCTGCTTTTGTTTCCACGGAAAGTCAGAGGCTATGGATTTGTTCCAGACTAAGATACATCAGGTTTGACCAGCCAAGACCCCCTGAAAGGTCTCCAATGACACCATGGCCCAGATAATCTAACATCCAGAATGGTTTCAAGGCAACTGGCTCACATAATACACCCTCATGGACTACCCCATAAGCTTAAAATTTTCTTTGTGTCCCCATAAGATACAGCACCCCACTCGAGCAGGGAGTAGTAAGAGATTCTACGCCCAGATTCCCAAATACCCCAACCTGGCTTTAGAGATGGAATTAGCTCACTCCCCCTCTAAACCCAGGCATATTGCTTTAAAAAAAATGGTTGAGAGATTCTTGTGTCCCAAATTGGAAGAACCCTCTGGTGTGGGACAGAGGAAAAACCAATATTTTTATTTAAAGCAGGTTGATTATAAATACAATCTCTTTCTTAAAAAAAGGGGGGGATAGTTTAGATATGATAGGATGAAAGGGTAGATTAATGAACCTACTTTTAAAGAGTAACAACTTGTTTAAAATGTTTTACATTGCTATAGATTTTAGTTTATTGATACAAGTTTAAACTTAATTTTGTTATACTATATATATATATATATTTCTATTCTTGTTTGAGGTATTATGTTTATGTAACTCATTTAAAATTGTAATGGTATTGTAATGGCTAATTAAGAAATAGATTAAGAAATAGATTAGTCATCTATGATAATCATATTTATAGCCATGTTAGTTAAGTCTTCTAGGTATACATAGATCTATTTCAGATAGATAGATAATCTTCAAACACTTCAAAGATCTACAGAATATGGCATTTAAAATGTTTTAAAAATTTAGACTTTCTGGACAGTGAGACATGTCTGCTCCTGGCAGCACCAATTTACTTCAGAGAGGAGGATGGGCATCAAAGACACTCCATATGGAGTTTATCTTCACCTTGGCAAAAATAGCCATTTGGGCAAGAAACTGTTCTTGCCTGGACTGCTTGATCAACTGGACATGCAGGACCCATAGGAAGGTGACCACTGAACTTTGCTTGACAAAATGGTCCTTCAGGTTCCTGCTTTGCAGAGGAAAATACCAGACATTCTACAGGACACACAAAAAAGTGACTGAGAGACCCTAGGCCTGTGGGCTGAACACAGATGCCCCAACTTTACAAGAAAACTTTGGATGACTCTCCAGGCTGCCAGCTGTCTCTGTCTACACTGCAAGTCTCCCGAAAGTTGCTTCCATCCTTCTCCCATTTCTCAGGTAGTATTATATCCTTCTGAGGTCTTTGATGTGGTTGAAGACTAGATACTTACAATTTTCCTTAGTTATGATAAAAGACAAGTTAGATATAAAACCTTAAACTCATAAATATAAAACATAGTATATCTTCTTTAATATTGTAACTGTAATTCTTGCTTGATAATTGTTTTGTTTTATATAATTTTACTATGTTAATGTTAAAACATTCCTTTTTTAAAAAAGAAGAAAAGAGGAAGTGCTATGGATATCGCTCTATATAAACAAATACTGATTGGCCAATAGTCAGACAGGAAGTATAGGCAGGACTAACAGAGGGGAGAATTGAGGAAGGAGGGAGGAAAGGAGAGACTGCCTGAAGCCGCCTCCAGGACAAGGAAGATGTAAAGTACCAGTAAGCCACGAGCCACATGGCATAGTAAAAATTAATAGAAATGGGCTAAATATAAAAGTAAGAGCTAGGCAATGATAGGCCTAAGCTAATGGCCAAGCAGTTTAAGTAATGTAAGAGTCTGTGTGTTTATTTTATGAGTGGGTTCCGGGACTGGCGGGACTTGGAGGGACCTGGAGAAAAAAGCTCTCCAGCTACAATATATAGACACATAAGAATAAAAACTAGGCCTCACTAGACCCCACTTCCTGCTTCTCAAAATCAAAAAGCCATTAATCACTGAAGCTCCGGATAACAGGGACAAGGGGAAGAGCAAGGACACAGGCTTAGACAAATAACCGAATAAGGACAAAGCCTGAAAAACATCCAGGCTTGTCCAAAGAAAGAGACTATAACCCAACCAGCCCCCAGCTAACTTTTAGCCAATAAACATTACTAACAATAATGCCACTCGCACAATCCCATTATACCTAAGATGAATTAACTTCCCTAGACACTCCCCAAAATTAGGCTTAAAAGGACCCATCACCCTTTCCCCGGGGTCACTGACATTCTACCTTTGGACAGGTAGAGGACCTCAGTATA